GGCCAAAGCCCCTCTTTTCTTTCTTTCCAGGAAGAGGCAAGAGAATCGCCTAAGCCCAGGAGTTGGAGGTTGCTGTGAGCTGTAATGCCATAGCACTCTACCCAGGGGGACAGCTTGAGGCTCTATCTCAAACAAAACAAAACAAAACAAAACAAAACAAAACAAAGTTACCCAGCCTGACAGTCACAGGGGTTAGTTATTCTGCACTTTGGGAAACTGTCCTCACCACCCTCTGATCTCATCTCTCTTCTTCCTGGCACCATCTGCAGGGAGCTGGATCACAGGGAGACAAGAATACCACAGGACAGGTTGCCAGGGCCCAACATGGAGGAGGCAAGTGGGCCCCCGGCCCGGGCAGAGGCCCGAGTGGTGAGTGCCATACTGACATGGCGGCAGCGGCCCCCTGCCCAGGAAGAGATCAGACATCATTTCCACAAGGTGTCCCTGGTGTCAGGGGCCCCCAGGGAGGAGATGTTAGAGCGCAGCCACCGTCAGGATGAAGTCAATGGCTTTGCTACATGGCAAGAAGAAACTGGGAATTGCCAGGGCTCTCGAGATGGGGCTGGTTCCAAGAACTTCCAGAGCCATGGGCCTGTCTTTTCCAAGAAGTACACACCACCACCCAAGGAGAAAAGGCCAGTGGGGAGGCTGAAGGAAGCTGTGGACCAGGGTGATGGGAGCCCCCAACCTCCCAGGACTGAGCCCCCAGGCTTGGGATCCATGGCCAAGACTGAGTTCTTAGTGCCCCTGCCTGGACCCCGTGAGCCAAGCCCCCACCCAGGTGCAGGTCTCAGCAGTGGGAGCTCCCGGAGTCGAGAGGAACGGCGGGTGACACGCACTGTGCGGACCACCATGGTGGTGGGAGGGCATGTGGACCAGCACGTGAACAGCTCTGTGACAGTGGGGCCATCGATCTCAGGTGACGCCCTGCCAAGGGGCCGCAATGTTGCCCGCACAGTGCGTGCAGTGGTGGTGAGCCCCCGGCCTGAGGGTTCACCCAGTCGCAGCCAAGCCCTGGAATTGCTAAGCAGCCTCATGCCTGCTGAGCACAAGCCACCTGCCAGCCGCCTGCCAAGGCCCATAGCTGCTGGGTCAAGGAGCCAAGGTCTGGGCAGCACAGGAGGGGCAGCTCTGAGGCAGCCACCAGAGACAAAGACAGTAGAGTTAAAGGACAGCTCTGCCCTGGCCCCTGCAGGCATCCCAGCAGGTGGCCACCTACCTCAGAACCAGGATGTCCCTATAGCCCACCCAGCCCAAGACCAGAATAGAGTCCTGGATGCCAGGGCCTATGAGTACCCAAAGGTGCAGGAAGCCTCTAGCCCTCGTCAGCTCCCTCTCCAGACTTCTCAGGACCAAGCCCCAGTCTCCTCCTCTCCCAGACTCCAGATCCATGACCCCTGCCTGGGCTCAGCCCACCTGCCAGAGCAGCCTGTGGTGCCCACTCACCCCAGGGCACAACTCACTCCCCACATCCTGCCCCCTGTGAAGAGGGAAGGGCTCACGCTCATGGACTCCCCTTCCGCCACTGTCCTGCCCATGGTGAAGAACAAGGATATGAAAGTCCCTGGACAACCTCTTGCTCTATCCTCTAAGGAGGCTGTTTCTGGCCCAGAAGGTCTTTCTGCCTCAACATCCCCAAGGAATAAGTTTTTTCAAGACTCTAAAAATGTCCCTGTAATCTCCCCCACCCAGATAGAGGTAGTGCAGGGCCCTGATGCTCCTGCCGCTCCATCTCCCTCAACTAAGGTTGTCCAGGGCCCTGAAAGCAGCCCTGATATCCAAAAAGAGGTTGTCCAGGGTATTGCAGGCAGCCTTGCCCCTTCCCTCACCAAGAAAGAGACTGTCCAAGGCCCAGCTGCTCCTGTTTCCCTGACCCCCAAACAGGGTAAGGTTGCCCAGGGCTCTGAAGGGAGCCCTAGCCTATCTCCCCCACAAAAAGGGGTTGTTCAGGGCTCTGAAGCTTCTGCTGCTGCCCCATCTTCCAGCCAGAAAGTGGTTGTCCAGGACCCTGTTGTTCTCCCTGCCCCACCCTCCTCAGTGGATAAGGTGTCCCCCAGCCCAGGAGGTACCCTGGCCATAGAAGCAGAGGCCAGCAGGGAGTTTCAGCTCATCCCTGACTCCACTGAGGGCAAGACGTGTCCAGAGCCATCAAGGGAGGAGGATGAAATGGCCCTGGCTGCTGACCTAGAGATTTTTCTGGATACCTTGCGGAGCATGGAGCCCCCTGAGATCCTAAGGACTCATCGGCTGCCCCGAGCCCCCCGCTCCTCCTACCTGGCCATGTATGCCACGCTGCCTCCTATCGAGGAGGACCAGCCTGGGCCGTGGGTGCTGGGACCCAGTCCCCAGGAGGTGCCTGCACTGGAAGAGAAGCAGGAGGAGGAGGAGGAAGAGGAGGAAGAACCAGAAAACCCCTACCTGAGTGACGATGAGAAACTCCAGCGCAAGCAGGAGAAAGCTGGGTCTGGCCCTTCCTGGGATCTCCGCCCTGCCAGGTCCACCCAGGCTTCTTGTTCTCCTCTGGAGATGATGAAGAAGCACGTAGCAGGTGCTAAGGGCCCCCAACCAGAGCTGGGGCTGGAACTGCAGGCATGCGGCAAGCCCACTTCCCGTCTTGGAGGCAGCCTTCTCTTCGGCAGTCTGATGCCTGCCACCAAGGAGGCCCCCACCCTGGAACCACTGGGCACAAAACTATCTGCTCTGCCACCCCACAGGGCACCAGGGCTCAGGAAGGTGCCAGGACAGTTGCCCCTGCTCTGCAGTGAAAACCCAGAGAGGCCTGCATGTTCCCAGCCCCAGGAGGGGTGGGTAAGTGAGGCCTTGGGTGGGCCAGGGAGGGTTTGGATGGTGTGAGGAGAATGGTGCTGGGTGAGAGTTAGGAGCCTTGGGGCTAGAGTGTGTGTAAGCCCCGTCTTTCTGGGCCTTGGTCTCCCTCCGATTCCCAAGGGCTTGGTGGCTCCGATATCTTGGAAGCTAGAGAAGGGGAGTGATGGACACCAGCTCCTGGGACAGGGTGATGAGGTGCCTGGGGGTTGGGAACAAGCATGGCATCCTCTGTGGGCCACACCTTAGGGAGGGTGTGGGATCCTTGAAATGGCAGGGTGTTGGGAGGGAGCAAAAAGGTAACCCCAGGCGTGGTGAGGTGGCTCACGCTTATAATCCTAGCACTCTGGGAGGCTGAGGTGGGTGGATTGCCTGAGCTCACTGGTTCGAGACCAGCCTGAGCTAGAGAGAGACCCTCTCTCTAAAAATAGCTGGGTTGGCTATTTTTAGCTAGGCACCCATAGCACAGTGGTTATGTATGGTCAGCCACATACACTAAGGCTGGCAGGTTCGAACCTAGCCTTGGCCAGCCAAACAACAAAGACAACTGAAATAAAAAATAGCTGGGTGTTGTGGCGGGTGCCTGTTGTTCCAGCTACATGGGAGGCTGAGGCAAGAGAATTGCTTAAGCCCAAGAGTTGGAGGTTACTGTGAGCTGTGATGCCACGGCACTCTACTAGGGTAACCTAGTAAGACTCTGTCTCAAAAATAAAACAAAATGGCTCAGTGCCTATGGCTCAAGCAGCTGAGGCGCCAGTCACATACACCTGAGATGGCGGGTTCGAATCCAGCCTGGACTCGCCAAACAACAATGATGGCTGCAACCAAAAAATAGCCAGGTGTTGTGACGGGCGCCTGTAGTCCCAGCTACTTAGGAGGCAGAGGCAGGAGAATCGCTTGAACCCAGGAGTTGGAGGTTGCTGTAAGCTGTGATGCCACAGCACTCTACCCAGGGTGACAGCCTGAGGCTCTGTCTCCAAAAAAGAATAAATAAAATAAAATAAAATAAAATAAAGATGAAAATAGGGGTGGCTCCTGTGGCTCAAAGGAGTAAGGCATCACCCCCATATACCGGGGGTGGCAGGTTGAAACCTGCCCCAGGCAAAAACTGAAAAAAAAAAAAGAAAGAAAGAAAAAAGGCAGTGCTGTGGCTCAAAGGAGTAGGATGCTGGCCCCATATGCCGGAGGTGGTGGGTTCAAACCCAGCCCCGGCCAAAAACTGCAAGAAAAAAAGAAAAATGCAAATAGCTGATGTTGTGGCGGGCACCTGTAGTCCCAGATTCTTGGAAGGCTGAGGCAAGAGGATTACTTGAACCTAAGAGTTTGAGGTTGCTGTGAGCTGTGACACTATGGTACTCTACCAAGGGCAACAAAGTGAAACTCTGTCTCAAAAAAAAAAGAGGTAACCCCATAAGACTTCTTACCACCTCCTCTGTTTCAGAGCCCAGCCCTAAAGACCCAGGGCAAGTTGAACACCAGGCCTGGAAAGGTAGGGGCATGGTGCTGAATGGGTGGGGGCAGCAGGAGGCAAGAGCCTGGGGTGGGGCCTGAGACTCCTTCTGTGCCCTCTCAGGTGATCCTCTTCTTGGAGCCTGGCTGCCAAGGCAACAGCAGGGAGATCTGGGAAGACATTGCTGATGCCTCAGGCTGGGCCCCCATAGCCTCCATAAGAGTGGTGCGAGGCTGGTGAGTGGGTAGTGCCCAATGGACATCCCGGTAGTGAATCTAGGGGCTTGGAGGGCAGTGAGGTGTGCCCAGGCCAGCTTGGCAGAAACCCCATCACCTACTCGGAGACCCTGGCCACATCCTCCTTTTCATCTGTGACTCTGGACTTTCTGTGTCCACAGCTGGGTGCTGTATGAAAAGCCACAGTTCCAGGGTCAGAAGATGGTCTTGCCTGAAGGAGATGTGGACCTCCGAGCTCCAGGGCCAACGTGGACCACCCATGGCTTTGGCTCCCTAAGAAGAGTTGTCCGGGTGAGTGGGCTGGAGGTGGGAGACAGCCTTGAGTGTCTACAGTTGGAATCTCTGGGAGAGATTATATGGATGAGGAATGGCAGGGTTGCTATGGACTGACCTATAGGTTCTTAACCTTGGAGCTGGTTGGGGAAGAAAGGGTTTCTGGGCAGTGTGTAGCCTGGGTTGGAGCAGCCTGGGGAAGTTTGAGGTGGTGCTGGAGCAGGACAAGGTGAGAGCAGCAGAAACGGGGCTAGAGGGGACAGGAGAGGATGCGAAGCCACCTGCCACCCAGGGGTCAGCTCTTAAGCCCATAGTCAGCTCCCAGGTACCAGGCATGTTTGTTCATTCATTTACTCACAGATGCTCACTCATATATACTGTGTGCCAGACAATGGGCGGGGGTGAGATCTGCTCTCTACCCTGTTCGACTTAAAGTCAAGCTGGGCTATAAGGGTTGGATTTGAAGCAGGGATGCCATATAACCAGGTGGGAGATTTATGAAAGTCCCATGGCTGCTGGGAGGAGAAAAGACTAGGAAGTCTAGAGGTAGGAAGACCAGGAAGGGCTGAGATTTCCAGTCAAGGAGCATCTCAGATTTTTGAGCGAGTGGTGTGTGGTTACAAAAGTCAGCATTATAATTTGATATTTGTAAAGGAAAAAAAAAAAAACCCAGCCACATTGTTTTCACAGCACAGGTTCACATACTTACGAAATTAAGCTTGACAAAACCATCCTGACCACTGGGGAGACCCAGAAGGAAGAGTGGTGACTCTAAAAGCTGGGTCTCTCAGACATTTGGGGTTTTGTTGGTTTGTTTTTCACTTTTAATGAATAACTGAGTCTTGATCTGTTGCAATCTTCCCAGTTAAGAGGTGACAAGAGCTGATTAGCCTTAACTAGGGCAATGGTCCAGTAGGATAGGAATTTTCAAAGCCTTTCCAAAACACACAAATGTTTGTGGACAGTTAATTGTGAGCTTCTCACAGTAAATTCATCTTCATGTGGGAGGTAACAAGCTACAAGGGAAAAACAAAGGCTTTGAAGTCAGATGGTCTGGGATTCATTTGAGTCATTCAGCATTGATTGGGCATCTATTGTGTGCCAAGTATGTGGGAGGTGTTGGGTTGCAACAGTGAATAAAAATTACACTGCTCTGTGTTTGGTTCTGCTCTGTGAGTTTGGGTAGAGCCTCACTTTCCTTGTCTGTGAATGGATTAATAACACCCATGGATAGGATTAGAGGAGATGGGGTAGGACGTGACCTTTGCATAGTGCCTTGCACTCAGTAGATGCTTTATAAACATTATGAACATTTGATGAATGAGTGGGCGAGTGAAAATGGTCCTAGTAAGGAAGAAACATCCAGAATGCAGAGAGGGGTCTGTTGCTTCCTGAGATGAGGTTCAAGCAAAGCCAGTCTGGACAGAGGTGGGAATTGTATCTAAAGGAGAGTCAGAGGTGGACCACAGGCAGTGGCTGTCTATCTTTCACTTCCCCTGTCCTTACCAGGCTGGAAGTCAGGCTGCCAAGAGGCAAGGGGTTGGGTATGGCACTTTGCAGATTCACCTGGTAACTTTGGTCTCTTGTCCCAAAGGTCCAACAAGGGACCTTCAGGTGGCTTGGTCTCAGGCTTGGTTGGCTGACTTTGAGAGAATACTCAGTCTCTGGGAAAGCTGCAGAAGTTTTGTCAAAAGCCTCCTGGAGTCCTAGCTGGATGGACTTGGGAGACAGAGGTAATCCTCAAGAGGTGCCGTTCTATACTTCATTCCCTTCCTTTTCTGCAGGACTACAGCATCCCAGAGATCAGCCTATTCTCTGAGGAAGGACTGCAGGGCGAGCAAGTGAAGCTAGTAGAGGCCTTGAAGGACCTCCTGAGCCTGGAGAAGCCCCTGAAGGTGGCATCTGCCACTGTCTCTGCTGGACTGTGAGTCTGAGCTATTCTGGAGTCCTTTCATTTAATATTCATTGTGGGCTCGGCGCCTATAGCTCAACCGGCTAAGGCGCCA